TCCTGGGCATTGGCTCATGGTGCCTCACTGACAGATATTTGTAGAGCTGTGGGCTGGACGACACCAAACACGTTCACTAGATTCTATAGCCTTAATGTGGAGCCGGTATCCTTCTGTATTCTCACCTGAAACGGGTAGAGGCACTGAGAGGCCCCGGTTTAGTGTCGGCTTGCTAAAACTGCTCAAAAGTGTCTGTACTGTAGACCCTGTCGAGCTCCTCCATCCCCTCGGCAGCCAGACGTGGCGGAATGTCCTGCGCCAGGCCCTCACTCGATGAATCCTTGAAAACCGGTAGAGGGCTCGGTTCCATATGTAGAGACCTAAGTGGATCCCATATGTGTAAAGTCCACGGTATAGCCTCAGAGCCCGTGTTTCCCCGGCAGACTTCTGCCATTTCCAAGAGGGTTATAATCACCTCTAATCTTCCATATGCACCTAAACGGTTGTTCATATGTGTAACTGCTTCCGAAACCTCCTTCGGGAAGGATGGGGCTTCCGCAACATTCCTGTTCCAAGTGGAACGTGTACGTTTTCCCAGTGTTATCCAATCTCACTGAGTGGGTAGTGCTACGACAACAGTGACTGGTTTTCTTGCTGCTAGCCCCTGCCTACACCAAAAAGGGGCACAGGCGGCTCGCAAGGGACACTGGAAGGGGAAGCATCCATGGCACTTTGGTCGGGATCCCAATTCGTCAGTCTCTGACGTGACGTCTCCGTTCCCTCCATCAGGGAACGAGGGTTACATATGTAACCGAGACGTTATCAGCATATGTTGAAGTAGATTGGTCTCGTCATCTCTGAGAGAATAAGCGGCATCAGATGCAGAAAACCCCGTCATTACTCCGTCATTCCGTTTTTACTTTCACTTTCTGCAGTGAATTGACTGAGATTGACGTTCACCGGCATAACTCTTGTGCAAAGTTTGCACTTTCCTTGTGTGATATCCATTGGCTCGCCTTCATGGTTTAAAACGGAACCAATCCCCAATATTATTATTATTATTATTATTATTGGTGTGCAATTTGACCACTTCAAGTTTTCATGAATGCGCATGTTAAATATACCCTGCTACATCCAGTGGCTGTTGTAAATGCATGTGTGTCAGTGTTGCTGTGAAATATCTGTGTGTGTGTGTGTGTGTGTGTGTGTGTGTGTGTGTGTGTGTGTGTGTGTGTGTACGAGTTTTTGTGACAAATGAGGACATACATTTGTATAATGACAAAGGTATGACATAGGTATTACAAGGAG